ACAGTCTCTTGCACTCCCACTAGCGCAAAAGAGTCCACCTTGAAATATCAATTATGCCAACACTGAGAAAACTTGATTTGGAAACAAAGAAAACAAAAACCAAAAGCAGAATATGACCTAGTATTCTCATGCATGTGGACAAGCGGACTTGACTACTTCCAGGTGGTGGTGCGTCCCCTGGGCAGCAGGCTCTCCCTCTCCCTCTCCGCCCCTCTCTGGTGACTGCTAATTCTCTGTATTTCCATAATCTCCAACCTTGGCTCAAATTTTGAAATTAAAACTGGTTTCCTTTTGTTGCACAAAATAATATAACAAGCAGAACGGAATGTTCAACCTTTTTTATTTTTTCCTAGTATGTCTAATTAAAAATAACTAGGCTCTCGGACACATAATTACATGAACACCTAATACACATTTCCCACCGATTTTGGTTCAGTCACAAATATGCACCAGCAGTATGAATGACCCACAACATTACCACCTGCTGTATCTGTCCAGTTTCTGAATCAAGGCTCATTTTTGAATTTGGTTTTTCACTACATTTTCTTTGTTGTGCAATCATTTCCCAGCTGGACAATTAATAAGTGCTTTGTCCCCGCAGCCCTTGATACCTAACCTCCGTTACCCTGTACATTAACATGCACTATCTACCTTCTTCACTCGGGCTGGTTTTGGCAGTGACCCACGATCTAAATCTCTTTCTTCCATTTGGTATAAGTGAAACTATAATTATCTAAGGGCTAATTTCACATTACTCCTTCATCCCAGCAGCAAATGATGAAGATTAGTGGTCTTGCCTTGCATCGAGTAAGTCAGCAACATAATCACAAGAGGACTCAGCAGGCAACATTTGATTCATGTGAACTCAATTACTCCTGTCAAACACACTCATTTCAATAAAAAGCAGAAAGTTCCAAAATGGGTTTTTGCTAACCATTTTATACTCCAAAAGGATTTCACATGAGTCTTAAGAGGAAAAACATAACATGTATTTAATTACAAATAACACTAAATAAGAAATACAGCCACACACTTAGATGCATGGATTTGGGACTTTGTTTCTGGAAAATAAAAATATTTGAAGGAAGTAATTTAGTATGTTTAAAGTGTCCTATTGAAAATTTAACTATATAAGTGTAGCTTGCAAAAATTAATCTACACTATATTTTAAATTGATACTCTAGAAACCAGACTATGTTAGCACCACACCAAAGCCAGATTATTATGGGTAAGGCAGGCTATTTCTCTTGATAGGCATTAAAGGAGAGAAAGTTGTTGTTTGAAGGTGACTGATCATAACTTGCTAAATTATCCCAAACGCTTGAATTGTATTTAGGTTGTATCCTACGTTAAGGCCAGATGGTTACTGAGCTCTGGCTTTGTGAACCTGGAGTGAAGGTTTAGCCTCTGAAAGGCCTTAGGTCAACTGCAGCATGCCCGAAGATGTAATGCTTACATGGACATGATCTGACAGCAGTGACCAGGGCACCTTCCACCATGGACTCAGTAAATAGTCACGTGTGATAAGCATAATATATGTGTTCAAATTTCAGCTGCTTCATATAGTTACATCCTTAATTAAATGGAACATACTTTGATTATCAATGAAACTGAGCATTAAATGCCATTATGTAGGAAGGTGATATTATAAATACGTTTCCATTCACTATGTTTGGAGCTCTACAAAATGCACTGCAATGGGGTTTATAATAAACAATATAGGAAATGCCAATCACACGTGATTTCATACTTGGAACCTGATACTTTGAGAGTCTTAAAACGGAGGGAGGATCAATTTAAAAGATATATTTGTAAATTTTCAGACAGAGGAAAGACATTTTCTAAAGATAAACAGAAAAATAAAATAAAATAAATCAACAAAACAGCCTCTGTGTACTTTTTATTTAATTTCCAATCCTACTTTTTTATTTCTTTCTGGTTTCTTATTTCAACATACTTCACTTCTGCCATTAGAGAGAATAATGCAATGGAAATAGGGCAAATGATTAATCAAATAATAATTCAACAAAGTCATAACTCTCAACAGTTCTATAAGGGGAAGATCTTGAATAAATAACAGTAAGCCTTGATCTAGTCCAGACAAGTCAGGAATAGAGTTCCTGAAAAAGGTATCTTTGAAGGCAGGTTAGAAGGATAGCTATGAATTAGTGAGGCACAGGAAGGTAAAACGTTCCCAGGAATAAGAGCAGAAACTTAAAAGAACATGTAGCAAAGAGAACAAGTGGCCTTTGAGAAATAAAAAAAGCTGGCTTCACTGGTGCACGCGGGAGAGGAGGAAGCATGTTTCCAGATGAATGTGGAGAGGTAACCAGGACAAAACATGCAGCTTAAAGTGTTAGAAATCTCTGAAAGAATTTCAGGGAGGTACACGAAGTGTGGTTAGACAGTGCTGAGCGTGAAGAACACGATGTCCATCTCTCTCTGGGTGATACAGCCAGTAAATATATAATAATCAAAAAGCCAAGTTATAGAGAAAGTCACTCATTGTATTTAAAAATAAAATTCCAACAAGATACGCTTTTAGAGTAGAGGCAAAAGGAAATGTCATGGATAGGTTGACCTGATGGGGGATTACTTCTGTCTACACTTTCTGATGGACTAGGGTGTAGTATCAAGGAGGAGTACCAGAATGATTCCTGAATGCCTTTCTTACTGAGCGTGATTCCAAATCCCAATTCCTATTTAAGATTTGAAGGTAGCATTTGGAGATCTTAGAATGACTTTGAATCATGTTTTATTCTATGTATATAGCATCCACACACACACATGCATACACTTACATATACATGTACCTATTGGGTATAGATATATAAATACCTGAAACATATGTAACTTTTTTCAAGTTCTCCAAAGCAAACCTTCATCATTTGTTTATTCAGTGAGTTAGTCACTCAAAGAGATCAATCATTTATTGAATCACAATTGGAAAATCTTCCTAGGCTGGCCCCATAACATCTACATGCTATAAAATGCCAAGAGACATTCGTCACACAGACTTCGTGTACAACATTCAGTGGCTTCTGTGGTCTCCAGATGTGTGGCCCCGGAAATGGCCCTTCCTACCACCAGGAGGAAATGACAAATTCGACTTGGGACAGCATCTGCTTTAGAAACTTTTCTCCACTGCTGCCTTTCCAGGTCACCCAAAGAAAGAAGAGAAAACCCAAACTAAAGGCTTCCCCTAAAATGCATTCATTCACAGTTCACAAACGCCCATCCTTCAAGATACTTTTCTATGTACCACTAGAATGTGCGTACCACTAGGTTCATTTTTATTTTCAAATAAAATGAATCAGAATTTATCCTCTAAAAGTATGGAGGCCTCCTTTACCATCTGTCACCCCAAACAAGGACTGAAGTCAACTGAAGACACAGAGATCCCCAAATGCTGTAAACAATCAAGTGGAACATGCAGCTTCACAGCACTAATAAACAAGTTTCAGAAATAATAACATTTTCATTTACAATATTTTATCTGGAAACACATTTGACAGAGTGTGTTTAAGTCCTGCTTCTGATTCTGTAATTTTGTATGACCCTATTTTAAACCAATAAAACTGTTCCCAAAAAATTCATATGTTAGAACTTTTCTATAATTCAGTCCTGACCAAATTATTATTCATTTCCCCAACAAAGTTATAAACATTTAAGAAAATTATAACATATAATTTCAAACTGACAAGACATTTAAGGGCATGTATATGCATGAAGTAAAGAGTTATACTTTACGTGGAAAAGAGTTACAGAATTAACTGTAGATACTCTTCAAAAAAGTAAAAAAGGAGCTGATGCTTGAAAGAGAATTAGCATATGAAATGTTTCTGGAGAGAATAAATTTTTAAAAAGTCCTAATTGCTTATAATTTTCCAAGTTTTCTTTCTCTGGATACATATCTAATGTACCATCAAGCCCGAAAATAACACCAAGTGCGATAAACAAAATGAAAGGAGGAAATAAAAATGTGCTTGAAGCTTCAGGGAGGACCAAGGACTGCTCAGCATTTAGCTTCTCCTTAGTTAAAGAGGCTGTACATAAATAGAGGCTGTACATAAATTCCCAGCCTCTATTTAGTATCCACACATTGTGTTGAAACCAAGTTCAAGTTCATAAGGACAAATAATTTTTAAAGGAAAAAAATGTGTTTTATTCTGCAAATAAACTGCTTTTCATTTTGACATAATGTACTATCCTGCTCCAGAAAGCCACTGATAAATATCCAAGACAAACAGAGCAACTCGCCACACTGTAGGCAAAATGAGGGCATTTTCAAATGAACAGGAAAGCATGCATGATCAAGTTTCAATTTAAAAGAAAAATTAAAACAGAAGAAAAAGTCTACAAGTGCAAATTGCTTTGAAATGACCTTTTTGTACTGGCCCTATCTTCAAACACTTATTTCATGGTGCACTGCTTATTATGCATTTAAAATTGATCTGTAAATTTTAAAAAGCAACCATGTAATGGCAACCACATGTAAGCAACATAGTAAACTAAGTATCATCAATTTACAAATGTTGTGCTACAAAATTCCTATGACTGAATTTATTTCTGAGGAATGTTTGAAAGGCAGTTAAAAGCATGCCAAAACAATTCCCCCTAGGTATTTCATTTAAATTTTGTCCAGCAAGAAAAGGGTAGAAAGAAAACAACAGCAGTGATAACAATCACAGGATGAAAGCCACTAATCCCTTGGTTTGTGTTGTTCAAAGATAAAACTTCTGAAAGCAGAGTGAATATGTCAGGCGACTTTGCAAATCAGATACTCTGAGTATTAATTATGTATATCCAATAAAATATAACATTAAATCTTCATCATTGCCAGAAATTTTAAAATTCAGAGAAGAGACAAATCAAACTCGAAGAGAAATAATCTCCATAAATTAGCAAAGTAAAAGGTCACTTGCTCATAATCATCGGGGACATGCATATACATGATCCGAGGGAAGAAGTCCCCAGCAGATGCACGGGCAAAGTCTTACCTTGACAGGTGCCATTTTTCTCTTCGTATCCCGCCTGGCACATGCACTTCCCGATGGGCACCAGCCACTCCCCTTCAGCACTGCAGTGCATCTTGGGGGGCTCATCTGTCACAGAGTGATTGACACAGGCACCTGACACCTCCAGCAACTGTGAAGAGTCTGCTCCAGTGATGGTGTCGGGGAAGACTGCTAAGTGTCGCACAATGGAAGGGCATTTTTTATAGTACACACGCACAGAAACCAGAGCAATGCATGCTCCCACGTCTTGGAAAGCCAGGTAAAATCCCTTCTTGCTCAGAGGGCCCACGTCTCTGACCTCTGTGTTCAGTTTCATGACTCGGTCACCAAGATCCAGTTCTGTGAAGCTCTCATCGGCTGCAATGGTGTCGATTTTGATGTACTGGTTTTCCTTGATGTTTCTCCCATTTGCATCATCAGACTCAAAATAATACATGTTAAAAGTTTCCTTGCACGTCCCCAGGCCCCCAGGGAGACTGTTACAGTCCCGCAGAGTAAACTTCAGTTCTATGAAGATTCTGGAAGCACCTTCGTTGGAGATCCAACTGGTCAAGAGCCAGTTATTCTGATTCTGTTCCATAACCTTGCACACTTGGTATGTGTGGATAGGAGCGTAGTTTTCATCAACTTCTCCAATCTCTTCCCACTGTACAATACAGAACAGAAAGATAGATGAAAAAACAGCAAAGAATTATAAAAAGAACTAATTACATCAGGAAAATGCCTGTAATCGCAAAATAGAGCACAGAGATAGAGTCCTATACAAAGCGGAGTGAAAAGATATTGAAAAAAGTTTCTTTTATTTTGGTGTTGGGGAATCGTAGTAATCATATATTATTCCATGAACCGCATTCCTAGCTTTTTTCTTTGCTAGTGTCTTTTTTAAAATTAAATAAAGGACTTAACTTTAGATTAAGTCAAAGATGAATACATATGAATTATATATAGCAGGGGAAATAATCTATTTTAGAGATTAAAATACTAAAAAAAATGAATGTGGATAAAGTAAGCAAAGGAAAGCAAAGGAAACTAACGAATATTGAGAAAGAAAGATAAGAATATCAACACATCATAAGACAGATGCTACAATCAGATAATGCTCCCCAGAGGGTCATGTGCCAACAGTTTGACTCCCATGCTGTAACCACCAGAATGTGGTGAAAATCTAACTATGCCCCAGAGGGACATCTGTAGGGAGTCAGAGGAATGCGCTCAAATGGGACTGCAGGTCTCAGTCCACCTTTCGCTCTCTTTTACTTTCTTGGGGGTGAGGGGACAAGTTTTGCTCACACACCCCATGATGATGTGCTGCCTCCGCACAGGCCTAAAAGCAATGGGGCTCACTGATCACAGACAGGAACCTTCAAAGCTGTGAACTAGCAGAGACCTTGCTCCCATATTAATGGTATAATTCAAAAGGAAAAATGAGGAAAGAGAACAGCAAATGTAGAAAAGAAAAATGAGGGGCTGGGGATTTAGCTCAGTGGCATAAGCACCTGTCTGGCAAGCGCAAGGTCCTGAGTTCAATCCCCGGTACCCTAAATAAATAAATAAATGAAACTTCTGAAAACATATATAATTTTGTCATGTAACAAATAGCATATTACTGTAATAAAATATGAAAGATCAATTTGCTTAAAATTAATAGTACAGTAGATCTTTACTTCACTGAATCCATCTGTTGAATTCATTTTCACTAAATGAGAATATTTTCACTATTTCTTCATAGATCTACCGATGGATGCACAGACAGTTAAAACATAGAGATGAAAATTATATATTTATAGTATGGATAGGCCCATATGGGATATTATCTGTGTTATTTTATACTTTGGGAAAAATTAATTCCTTGTTATCAGTGTATTATTTTCTTTGAAATTACCTTAAGATATAAGAAAATATATAAATATAAAAAGTAATCACATAAGGTTCTCATTAGTTTCCAAGTACAATTTGGTAATAAAAAAAAATTAAAAAAAAAACTTTTTTTCAATAAAATACTCCATTTTTAAGAATGTCAATGCAGCATGACCAAATCCTGCAGTATAATGAATCCAAATTTGTATTCCTCATAAAAATGTCTTTATAACAGAGACAATTTATTAAACCTATACAGAAACTGTATACACAAATTTATATGCAATTATATTTTGCTTTAAATTTTTCAAATGCCCCTAAAATACAAAGAGCAATGCACACAGGCTGACTGTCAATATATTTAAAATGTGCGATTTTAGACATTCAGTTTTATAGATAAAGCCCATAAAAGTTTATTTCTTTAGACATTAAATTCAATACAGAATTGTTTTTTCATTTTGTTCAACTGGCAAAGATGTGGAAAACGTAAAAGAACCAGGGATGCAAATGAATCTTAGACCTACTACAGCTCCTCTTAAAATTCCAGCCAATATCACACAGACAGAAGTAAAAGGTGCTAATGAGGTAAAACTGCTGAAGTCCTGCAATTCACAAGAGAGAGGCATCAAGACTTTATCCTGCCTAACAACTTCTGCATTGTGGTGCAATGAGAAGCCTTAGTTCTTTCAATCTCATTTTTATTTCCTCTCAAAATGTGTATAAACCCTACTTAGCCCCTGATTTTCTAAATCAACTTTCTATTTTACCATTCTATCGTTAACTACTTAACATTTTCTTCCTCCAGTTGTTTAAGTATCAATCTTTTTATTATAAATGGTCGCCATATGTCTTAATTAATATTTTATGCAAAAGTGTACCTCATCTATGCAAAAATGGTGAAGTTATCAATATCACAGCAAAACTAAACATTTGAATTAGTAAATGGAAAAACAGCATTAAATCTCTTTGAAAAATCAAAAAGCTAATTATGTCTCCTTAAATATATTATTTTGTGATTATAATCCAAACCAAAGCATAAATGGATTTTAAATTATTTGTTTTCAATCAATTAGAGGAGGCCTAGCCCTGATTCATGTATTCCAGTAGGATCCTGCTAACAAGTGAAAACAAGCAGAATAGTGGACTCCAAAATTATAATCAATTCACAGTCTGAGTGTGCAAGAAGTCCAGGGTAGCCAAAATATTATTAAAAATGCAAGCCAAGCAGCACTTGACAAGACAGCTTAATAGTTACCGCTTCAGGTGATAATTTCAAAGTACATGAATAAGCATTTTGCTTCTCTGAATATTCTCAATTAAAGAAAGAAAAAGTACATAAATTTCTTAAAGTTTGAACCTGCTGTGGTGAAATTTTATGTCCAAGATCCAAAATATAAATGAAGGCTAATATTTAATATTTCAAATGAATGAATGAAAATACCTTAAATAATTATAACCTATCAGCCATTCAGAGAATCAAATAGATGAAATATCATATCTGTCTTTATTTATACAAATTCATTGTATAAATAGATAAAAATTTTCATTTACTTTAGGTTATCTGAAATAAAGCCCTGCATTTGTTCACAATTTCTTTTCTTCAAGTGTGAAGAGGTCATCTTGTAGGCATTGGGACAAATCAGGAATAAAGAAATAGGATGAAGAGAAAATAAGCATCACCTAGCATTTAAAAATATGGAAAGCAAATTTCTAGATAGGTTTACAAGTGTCATGTTAAAGGGATTACAGTCATTTAATGAAGGAAGTATGTCCTATGATTGTAGTATTTCCTCGGACTCTATGAATAAATAAAAGTATTTGCTCATCATCTGGTTGACTGCAGGGGAAGGCCATCCACACTGGGGAGAGGACCTCACAGAATGAGGTCATGAGCTGCAGTTTCCCAGATGGATTTTTGCAAATCCCAAAGGCCTTTTCTTTGAGCTCATGTTTTGTTTTGTTTTGCTTTGTTTTGTTTTCAATTTCCTCACTTCCTGTTGTTTTGCATTAAAATTAAAAACAAAAACAAAACAACAAATTAAAAAAAAAAAAAAAAACCTACCAAAAACACTGGTTATACAATCAGTTTTTTGGATTTACTTAATCTTCTTCCCTCTTAATCCCAACCTACTGCATTCAAACCTCCTGTCTAACCAGACAGCCCAGGTCAGCCACATTTCAGCAGAACAGGAAAAGACAAAGGCCGTATTTGCATATTCATGCGTGTATCCCTGGAATTATCAATTATCGCCTCTTCCTACCTAAGTCATTAAGAACTACTCCTTTCTTGTTCTCTCAACTGCCCTTGGGAGAGAAAAAAATCAAGCTTCTCCTTAAAGATTCTTGCCTCCAGTTTCTGCTGTCTCCGGCCTAGGAACCACCATGGCACTCTGGTCATCTTCGACTCTTGCTTATGTATCATTTCCTTTTCCTTCAAGAATTGATGAAGCTGAGACAGAACACACAGCCAAGCGCCTCCTTACCCTTTATTTTGTTGCTAAACTCATAGCACAAAATATCATAGGAAGAGGACTGATTTTTTCCTTTTTAAAGGATCCAGAGCTTGCTTAAATATTTGTTTTTATTATTTTATTTCCACTTATCTGATTTCTTACATCAGGACAAGAATCTATTAAGGTAAAGTTAAGGAGCAACTAAAAGAAACTCAATAAAATCTTTAAGCGTCTTCTGCAAGAGGACAAATACCAGCCTGATGCCCCAGTTTCAGCCTTCGCTCTTACATCTCAATAAATAAAGTGAGACCCAATCTTTGGAACAACAGTTTTGCAATTAGTACTGAGAACTAAAACATTGTATTCTAATCTTCAGTATCCACTAAAACATCCAAAAAGCCCTTCAGTGATCTAGTGCTGGGTCAATGCAGAAATAGGAAACTGAAGGCCAGATAGAAAGAAATACTTGTCCAAGCATACATGGGACCACATTTACAAGGGTGTGCTTGAAAAATGCAATGAATGTTTAAATTTTAAAAAAATAAACAGTAAATGATACATTTCTATTAACCCCCCTGAAAACACACCCTTTTGCTTCAAAAACACCCATCATTTTTGCCACTTTCTGAAGCAGCTCTGAAAATTCTCTTTTGTGAGTGTCTTTAGTTTTCACTGTTGTGGGTGCCTCAGTGGACTGAGTTGATTAACATGTTGATCTTTCATAGTCATTTTGACTTTGGGGGAGAGCCAGAAGCCAGTAGATGCCAGACCTGGTAAAAAAGGTGGATGAGAACATACCATAACATTTTTTATGAGCCTACTTTTTTGTTGGATTGCACCTGGCAGCAGCATTCACCAATTTTGTCTATCATGTCTCAAAGATATTCATGAAATTCCAGGTTTCTGAAGGTGAAAAAAATTGACTTAGTGTACTCAAGGCAAGAGGGAGTATTTTGTGGGAGATTAATGACAGTGAGTCTTTTACTACAATAATTTTCTGTTGAAGCTTACACCATGTTTTTGATCAGTCCTTGCACTATTTGAACATCTTTTGCCTTTACCTACTTGTCTTCCTATCTGCCTGTCTCTATCCCTAACGTGTGGGTTTGTGTGAGTTTCCCCAATTCAACATCACCCTACGCTGCTGAAAATAAAATCACCTTTTTTTAGCCAGCATGTAACCATAGAAACCTTTCTTCCTTCCTCTATCTATGGTAATTCTTAGAAACACACATCAGAGTGCAAGGCATGATTGTTTTACTATCTACAGTATCTAGAGTCAAACATTACATTACATAGTTCGGTGCTTGATGGATATTTTATATTGAATGAATCC